AATTGAATTAAAAAGTATTCAAGTTGAAGCAAGTTCACACTGCAATGGAATCATCGTATATTTTATCAATGAATAAAATTAAGTTTATATCGACAAAGTCACATACAACAACCAATTCTTAGAATGTGCGTTTAATGACAAAGATTCTCCTTTACAATAATAGAGAAGACAATTGGTTTTCCAAGGGTCAACCTGCGCTAAATTAGATTACGTTCTACTGATTTGGAAAACTAGACTGTCCGTTTTCCATTAAGAATTTCTTTTCAAAAGGCGTTTCCTATTGTTTCCTTTGATTTTCTTATTTAAATTAAGACAATTACCAGAGATGTTCTGAAGCTCTCCTCTCTCTCTCTTATTAGTGCTTTCTCTTTCATCCTTTAGTTCATTGAAGTTATCTCGCCATGTACCTTAATATTTTTCTTATCATTAGGAAGGGTTGTTGCATCCTGCTAACTTTTATGAAGACCATTAAGTTGGGAAGCGGTTATCTCCTGCTCGAGTTTGTCAATTTCTGATGTGGTTCTTTGATTTATTTTTCCTCCCGTTACGTATGGCAACACGGTCATAGAAAAGGCGGGCTGTATTCAAGGCGCTTGCAAAATGGCACCTGTAACTAAATGGACAATTAAACATTGGGTGTGTCTGATCCAAGTTGGGTTGTTGATTGTCCAACACGAATCCACGCCACTGTTGCCACTTATTTCCTAGAAATTCGTATTTCTTCCCAAGTCAATCTAACAGACAGCAAATTTGTTTAACCCGTTAAAACTTCACCCAGTGCGCTAAGCCCTGTGATTGATGAATTATTATTAATTGTGGTCGAAAATGAGCTGGGCTATTTACTGTGATTAGAGTCATATTTCGAGTTAGAAAAATGAAAATTTATGCAAGTTTGGCTTAAAATTTTGACAATATACTATATTTGCAAGTTTTTATCGTGTAGAAAAGAATAAAACAGTTTAATATGATTATTTGAATAGGGTTTGAATGAATTACCAAAACAAATTAATTTATAAATTCGGATCATATGCTTTTTTAGTTTTAGGGCCTAGTCAGAATTTCAGCTTTAGTCTCTCAATTAGGAATGGCTTTATCTTTGGAATGTGCTAAGTTTATTCAACAGTTTACCGATCAATTTTACATACGTTTTCACTGAGAAATTTCTTTACTTAGTCGAAATCATTGAGGCATGGGTGGGGTAATTCTGAGGGCCATTCAAAATACCCCACTAAAAATGGTGATGGTTTAATTTATCAAGCTATATACATTTAATTAAAACTAGAATGTGGGAATGAAATTCCAATTTTCATTAGACTTTAAAGTTGACAATTATTTCCAATGTCATTGCCATGGTACAAAGTTCACTGAGTAAGCAAACTGCTATTCCAAAATTGCGTATATTTTATCACTTAGCTCGCAAACTTGTTTAGGTGAATATTTTTAGCAAGAAATATGATTTAAAATGCGATGTTAAAGCGAACGGTTTAATTTCTTGTTTTCTAACTGTCATTCCGTAGATTTGATGTTTTTTGCCATTTTTAGATTTGCAGTAATTAAAAGAAAATCATTTCATTTAACTTTATGAGAAAGGAATCTGCAATGATAATAATTCTTCATGGCTATATGCTGATCTATATCGTACTCTAAGTATTTTGTATGCTGTTTTTTTCAAATTCGAGGATCAGATCGGATAAACAAATATCCGATTAATTTTAAATTGCTTTTGAGCTTTATTAAAAAATATTTGTTGGAGTGTTTCTAAATGTTTTGTTTTCATAAACTTTAAGAGGTATATTTGCCGAAGAACTGAAGTTTCAATTGATTAATGTATAAGCCTATTGGATCAATATTCATAGTATTAGGTTGGCAACTAAGTCATTGTCGATTTCAAATAAGAAGGCGAATTCGGAATTTTTGTTTAAAAATATAACTTTATTCAATTAGATATTGGCCGTTCTTGTCGATGACCTTTTTCCATCGTTCTGGCAGGGTAAAAATTCCCCGTTCGTAAAATGTCTGGTCTTTGCTATTAAAAAACTGAATTAGGTGTGATCCGACATCATCCGCATTGTTAAAAATTTGACCATTTAAAGAGTTTTGCATGGAACGAAACACATGGTAATCCAAAGGCGCAAGGTCGGGGCTATATGGTGGGTGTGACAAAATATCCCAACCCAATTCCAATAATTTTTGCCGAGTAACCAAATATGTGTGGGGCCTTGCGTTGTCATGATGGAAAACAACACCCTTCCGCCGATTTGATAATGCCGGCCGCTTATCTTCAATTGCATCTTTCAGTTTTTCGAGTTGTTTAACATACACATTTGAATTTATCGTTTGGTTCTGCGGCATGAGTTCAAAATGCAAAATTCCTTTGTGATCCCCCCACCAGACTGGCAGCATAATCTTTTTTTGGTGAATCTCTGCTTTTCATACTGTTTGGGCTGGTTGATCTTGCTTCACCCATGATCTCTTGTGAGTAACATTGTTATAAACTATCCACTTTTCGTCGCCAGTAACTAGATTCTTCAGAAATGGATCATTCTCATTGCGTTTCAGTAGCGGCGAATCACAGATGCTAATCCGTTGCGTCAAATGAATTTCCTTTAACTGGTGAGGGATCCATAAATCAAGTTTCTTGACATAACCAAGGGTTTTTAATTTTTTTTCAATGCATGTATGCGACACATTGAGCTTCTCTGCAATATCTCGTGTTGTGCTGTGACGATTTGAATCGATAATGGCCTTGATATGGGTTTCATCCACTTCGACTGGGCGGCCAGATCGTTGTGAATTTTTCAGTGAAAAATCACCGGAACGAAATCTTTCAAACCAATTTCGACACTGCCTTTCTTTTAAGGCTTCATCTCCATATACGGCACATAACTTCTTTTGTGCTTGCGATGCGTTCTTGCCTTTTCGGAAGTAATACAATAAAATGTGTCGGAAGTGCACGTCCTGTTCTTTCATTTTTAAATTGGGATAAAAAAAACTAAAGAACTAAACAAAATAAATTTTTTACTAATTAACCTAGAAGCCCATAAAGTAAGAAAATATATCGGTTAGATGCTCTGGCCACGTTAACAAAACAAAAAAGTATAGTGAATCCGTCAACAAAAACGGCAATGACTTAGTTGTCAACCCAATAGGTTAGAATAGGACACATTATTTCGTTGCATTAAAATACAAATTGAACACATATCTCCACAAATTACCTTTACTAGGTTATGGGGGGGGGCTGTTAACTTTGGAGAAAGCGTTTTCGAAAATTCAAGTCATCTCGGGAATTCGAGGCACAATTGTTGAGTCCATCTGCTGTATTTTGAGTTACTAGTAGAATATTGTTTTATGAAATGCTGGTTTTCAATTGGGAGTAGATTCATGGATTTTTTAGACTGGAAATTCATATTCTCTATTAGATTCAAAATCGATGAAAAATGTTTTATTTAAAAATGAAATCCATCTTCTGGGTTCGCATCGGCTGCCACCTTTCCGCTACTATTCGAAAAGATTTGAATTTTAAAAGTAATAAAAACATAAATAAACTTGATAATGAAAACCAATTTGGTAAACCAAAGAGCCTTACAAAAATTGAATAAAGATGCATTTTTCCTAGACTTTAACGTCGAAATATATTTAAGAAGATTTACCTCGAGTACAAACACAGGTTAGGCATATATGAGTCTAGTCCCTATCTGGAGAGTTGAAATATCATGTTGATATTAATAGCAGCCCTTGTAGAAAGTTAAGGTGGCAAGACCGTTCATTCTTTATCAACCCTGATGGTCAATTTGGTGAGCATTGTGAAAATCAAGTGAAGTAGAAATCGATGGGATTTTGACTCTGCTTTTATCATATTCTTGATTCTCCCCATTTCTCTCTTTGTTCTAGCCGATTTCTATTGTTTCTTCAATTAAAGCAAAATATTTTAATTCTTGCGGGTAATAGAAATGGTGCACAGCTAAATGCATTTTAAGCTGTTCCACCTTGTTACACGATTGGTTAGTCATTTTGATAGTTAATCATTATTGGCAGCTTCACCTTTGTCTATGACCATCGAACGGTGAAAACAAAGTGGAGTGGCGTTTTCGGTCTGTCGCGTCTTTCCATCAGCTGGTTGGAGAGCTTAAGCCGATGCAAAGTAGTGAGGAAGACAAAAGAACAAAAATTTTTCAAAGGTTTGCGCTTTTACAGTAAAAAAAATGAATAGCCCACAACAAATACTTAAAGCTCTGGCTATACCACTCCCCTACGGCAGCAGTAGTAAATCTCACTTCTCCTAAATCTATGTGGAAGCGACTCACTCCCTCGTGTACGAGGTGAAGATGGGCTCGAGCATTTTATTCGCTTTAGCGCTAAGCTTGTCTGAGCCTGGTAGCGATGGGTAAAGATAAATAAAGAAAAGGCACAAGCCATTGCCAAATAACCCCTTTGCGCTACAAACTAGACAAATAAATTGACGCGCTTTCTATGCATACGAAGTTAGCTTCAATACGTGATGCTTATTCAAGTGCAAATTGATAAAGTTTCAGTGATAGAAATAGACTTTATATTCGGTCAGTATTATAATGTAAAATGCGTAATAATTAGAATTCGGGAGAATTTTTTGTTAAGGGGTTCAGATTTGCCTTCTTTTCCTATCTCCATCTCTCCTGGCGATCATATTTTAAAATATCATTTTTCTAATTAATCTTGATGGAACAGATATGCATTTGGACACTTGGCCTGTGATTTCTTGCGTACCCTCCTGTTAGGAGAAAAAAATAACATTATCCATATTTGCCAAATCGAAGCAACTGGTAGAGACACTGTTTATATTTGTTACAAAGCGTTGGCAATATTTTGCACAAGGAATCGCGAGAAAGTACATATTACAAATTACTGTAAATTTCAAATGGCTGCTTCCTTTTAGACTGCAATTTCTTCTTGTAAATATTTAAGAAGAAGAATTTTGACCAACTATATCATCCTTGGCGATTTAAGAATCAAGTATTTTAATCATGATCAATATCTTGTAAATTGACATAGGACATGGCTACCACTTATAAATTTATCATGGCCATATTGCCAAGAAATAGTTGAGATGTTTTGGGTGGATATTCTAGTCTTTCTAGAAAAATGGTGTTTGATTGAAGTGTAGCGTTTCTATGCGATTATTTTCCCTTCACGTTCCAATTTATATAGCAGGCATAGAGACGCATTATCAATAATCGAGCTTATGTGCACTTCCTTTATGAAAGGAAAAGTTTTGAATAAAACGTAAATGATGTCAGAGGGGGTGATTCTGTAAATGATTGTCTGAATCATTAGATTCGGGATGGTTGAGCAATTTAATTGCTGTGCAGGTGTTAAATTTTACGAAATCAAATATCTCATAAACCTCTTTGGGGGATGTTTACATTTTCCAATTATCTCGTTATTATACAATATATGCCATTAACCAGTATAAAAAAACTCTATTGCCCTTAGGAAATATATAGTGCCCTGCTCCACCCCCTATCTGATAGTGGAGCATAGATATAATCATTATCATTAAGCTCGCTGTATTCTCTAAGGAATATTTCATTTATATTGTCTTGATTATATCTCCACGTAGCAAATAGCTTAGTGCATTTTGGACTGTTTTAGGTCATTAACTGTAAGCTAATCGACAAATATAGATTAATTAAATAACATTCGTTGTTTAAAGGGAAAATATATTATTTGTGACTGAAAATTTTTCAACCAATTTCGGTAAAAAGAATATCAATGCTTTTGCTGCTAATCCACATGAGTCCAAAATAAAGTGCCTTTATCTTTCCAAATCTGATAAGGTGTTTATTTTAATTACTTATATATTGTCATAAATAATAAAAAATCCAGGATTTATGGGTATATCGCCTAACCTGGCAAAATAAATTATGTGGTACCCGAGGCGGATTTTTTGATTATTAAATCTTTAGCCTGAAATTTTACCGATGTATCGTACTCGATAGCAGATCATTACCTAGGTCCTTTTAATAAATTTCCTTCTATTGCTTTTAGAGACAAAAATTGGGGACCTTCTTGGGCGTCTTCCTACCATGCATTCAAAATATTTTTGGTGTTCTGCTCTTTGTTCGTATGCCATGGATTGCTGGAGTGGCCGGTGGTTTGCAGTTCTTTCTAATGGTCGGATTCTGTTGTCTTTGTGTAAGTCGTTAATAATTATCTTACTATTTAATGCATTTTACTTGTTGGACACAATTGCGTATTGTATTCAAACAAATATTTTAAGAAGAAATCAAAATCCTTAAATTTTGTGATAAAGTCTTCTCAGCGCAAAATCGAAAATATATAACAGTATTGTATTTTCAACTCACTTCTTTTCAAAGCTCTCAATAGGTAAATATTCTTCTCGTTGATTGGTTAATAATCACAAAATGGCACTCTAATGGGAGCTTGCTTGGCCACTTTTATAGTTTTTATACTTTGTTGTCATTGATGCCTATTTCACACTTTTAGTATTGTATTGTTATTAAAACAAAAGGAAAACAAAAATATATGCAATATTATATTGTTTCAAACCCCTTGAACTGATTTAAATATTTGAGAACATAGAAAGGGGAGAAAATCCGAACAACGGCCGTAATCAAATCATGGTTTTGAGAACGTTTTAATTCATTTGATTTCACGTTCAAATTCACATTTAATTCAATATAAAAGTTATTCAATTTATTTATATTCCAGGTTTTAACTTCAACTGCCTTTAATTTTTTCATTCTTTTACATTTTTGTGCACGCTTCTTAGTATATGTATTTATTCATTTGTTGATGAATAAGAATAGTCGGTCATGATTTTACTCTTTCACTCTGTAATTTGGCATCTATTTTACATTAATGGAATATTTCTTCCATTGTGCATTTATTCTGAAGCATTCACAATTTCTATGCCGTGAAAACGTTTAATTATTAATCTCTGCTCCAAGGAACTCTTGCCTAACTTATCACGATTAGTAAGCAGGAATGTACCATACCATGAATCCCACTGGTAATAACAGTAAGTGCTTACTGCCATCATTTTCACAAAACACTTTTCCCTGTTTTTCTTCAGTCAGTTCAGAGCACGATTTCTCTATATTGCATGCTAACTACAATTATTTTCAAAGTATATATATATATATATATATATATATATATATATATATGAGAAAGTAGATAAACTAATTTCGGTGTTCTCAGCAAAGTACCATAGTAAGTTTACCTTTTAGTAAACGAGCTTACATTTCCATGTCGATTTACAATCACATTGGTCTGATTATTAACAGAAATAACTTGTTAATGTAATTTAAACTTTTATGAATTCCATGTCGTTTAGAATGGAGAATTTTATTTTTTTTAAACAGATATCTCACTCAGACTTTGAATAAAGGACAAATATTTTACATTTATATTTAAGATCTATGAACGAAATTTCCCTTTTATAGTAATTTTGTTATTTTTTGGCAATTGTTATTAAAACCGTTGACCTCTTTAAATAGATTTCGTATTCCATTAACCTTTAAACAATTAAACAATTTTTCACTGTATTTAGCAAAATTTTTCATCAGATGTAAAAGTTCAGAAATTATCCAACTTGTAATTCAAATACTTCGTCTCTCCGTTGCAGGAAAGACTTTGACGTTTTCTTTTGTCCTTAGACCGGAACATCTATCAACAATTCAAAATTATAAAAAAATGGTTTGAAGTAAGACATTTAACACTAGTTAATCAGAACAGTTAAACAGTAGGAAAGTTGCCAGTTTCTTTTGGTTATTGAAAACCTACGGAATATGATTTTGAAATCCGAATCATTTGATATTTTCATGACACAACTGTTAATAACCCGATAGTTGGGAAAAAACTATCTACATATTAGTTTTAAAAAAACGTTTGAATACAGATTTGTTAAAAGTCTCATACATTGTCAATGATAATTAATGGAAGGCAACATTATTCATTGATTCTAACGATCAAAGCCATTCCCAATTGAAATATCATTGATTGGTTCTTGCGGAAAAGTTGATCATCCTCCTTGGTATTCTCCTCGATCGAATTCATTAGATCAAATCACCTTATCTGTTTAATCATTTTCCCGACTTATTGTAAGAATGTATCAGCAATATTTGATTCAATCTAGTGGTTTTCTTAGTGCTCCATAATACAATCTAGGATATTGCATGAGATTGTCCGCATTTTAGCCTTATTTTTTCATATAAATTGCAAATTACTAATAAGAACACCTTGTTTACCCCTTTAGACTACAATCACAACTTTGAGTATGTCTGCAATTGCCACAAATGGCAAAGTGCCAGCTGGGGGGTCATATTTCATGATATCACGATCCATCGGACCAGAGTTTGGTGGTGCTGTAGGGATTCTCTTTTATCTCGGTACTTCGATGGCTGCTGCGATGTACCTCGTCGGATCGGTAGAGGTCTTTCTGGTGAGTAGCAGTTGTTTTACCTATCAAGCGACCAAAACGACCCATTCACCCCACCCACCCCCACCCTCCTCCCTCCTTTAAGTGCTCTAAGCTACTCTTAAGATGGGAACGTTTCAAACGCAGCGTACGAGACTGCCAGTCTCAACACTAATTCAGCGCAATGCGCTTCTATTTGCATAAAAAAAGCATATTCTTTTTATTTTATGTTACATAAGGGCAAAAAATTAAAATTTTATAAACAAAATCTCTTTTCCGGAGTATTATCGCTATAATTCCGTTGCATCTGATTCCTGATTAAATAAAGTGAACTAATATATTATTATTATATAGTGTGTATGTGTGTGTGTGTGAAAAAACCGACAGTAATTTATTTTATTTCCTTCCATCATTCGTGATTTCATCTTAAGCTGACTTGTTCCAGTTTTGCAATTAATACGAATTTGAACACATCGAAATTAATATCGTATAAAAAGTGGAATACTGAAATCCGGAAATGGAGGTTTTAAAAGATAAAAGTACACGCCCTCAGCCTTGTCAATGCAATTTGACTATTTTCCGTTTTAGTAAATGCTGTGTCCCCACCAAATTCCATTAGAGTGAATTGTTTGCTTTCTGATTTATAGGCTAGTCTACAACAACGATGGAAATCTTTGGAATTCCGACCGTTTTTTGTTGATTGGGAATGAAAGGATTAATTGGTAGATCGGGGTGAATTTATACATTTAGGTTTTGGCCATTTGATTACGCATTATTTGCTGAATGAAATTTTTAAATGATTTAGTGGTTTCTTATCGGTTTTAGACGCTGATAGGGATCCAGCAACATGAAGATAGCTTGCGTATCTTCTCATGATGAGCCCACACTTCAAGTTGTCTGTTAGATTAATAGACACGTATATGCTGATTCGATGCTTGAATACTTAATCCACATAAATCCACCTTTTTGTGACAACCATTGATTACATGCCTCTACAAAAAGCCCTGCTAGAAAGTTAATAAGTAAACCGTAGGGCGACTGCACTTCTTTCCAACATGCGATGGGTAGTAATATCACAGCAGAAGCAACAGTTGAACTTGATCTTACAGCAATCCTCCAGCTCACAAGAGTCGCACTTACTCAAGTGGGCAATGAAAATGGTTGTCCCAAGTTTTTTTGGAAGATCGACAACGCATTTCGTCTTACTCTGCCAGAGCTCATGGTATTCTGTTATTTGGCCTCCGGTTCATTCTTCGGCTTTATATAATTTCAAGCTATAAATTTTAGTTGTTATTTGCAGTAGGGCTTGGTTCAATAATATTAAATTAATATTTGTTTATTGAGCTTTTATCGGAAATGCTTATGTGCACTTCCTTGTTGAGCTCATCTTAAACCCGGATTGGCAAATTTAATAAGTTGGAAGTAGGCTGGTGCTTCGTTCCCTTTATTGTCACTCTCATTTTAGTAATAATTTTTCTTAATATATCGTAAGCGTTAACAACGTTAAATTCCACCCTTAATAATGAAGCTAAATGCCGCAATGTAGCGCAAAGTATTTTAAACTATTTGCCAAACGAAAACATCATATAAATCAATTGTATCCTGCCATTTAATGTGAACGATTTCTACTTGAATAGGCAACAACCAATTTATCTTTCTAGGTAATATTTAAAATTCAAATCATTGAGCTTGCTTTAGTATCATTTATATCTTGGCATATTTATTTACTGAGAGTTAAAAGTGGCTATGGAATTGGATAGGTGGAACCCACCAGAAAAAATTTATTGAAGAAGCAACAGTGTTCATTTTATTGATATCCATCGGGTTTCGACAATCTATTTCGATTCGACATGTATTTTCTGTCACCTCTTATGACTAGAATCAAGTGGATCATTTAGTGAGCCATTCACTTTATGTCCATGGATGAGATCCTATTTAATAAATTTGCAGGAGTCTGCATGAAAACTGTACCTGCACACTCAATTGCCTTGCCATCACGCACAGTTTATATATTCATTTCTTAAAAGAAATTTATGATTGACTACTTTCCGATTCTTAAGCACTATGTATTAATGAATCCCTCAGAAATGTAATATTTCTTAAAATTAGTGCCAAATCGTTTTCGATATGTGTGTCCATTAAGTTCGAGTTAATTTACTCAATATTAATGTCTCATAGATATCATCTCTAAATTGCTCACTATTGCCACAATTCTTTTATTAATTATATAAAATTTCTCTTTTACTAAAATTTCAATAAAACGTAGTATTTCTAGTTGTTTTTTGTCTTACATTTATGATCAAAGGAGAACAATTTGGAAGCACATTTTGAAGTTCGCCACTGGTTCCCCAATATACCAAGCGCAGTTGGTTTGCATGGATGTGATTTATCTGAGAAATGCTAATCACTTTTATGGCCTTAAGATTCTATTGAAAGCGCGGTCATTGAAATATATATTCTCTCATTCTTCATTTTACTGCATTCCTGATTTGAACTTAGCATATCCTTGTATTTTTGTTTCACAACACAACTGAGTAATAAATCAAAATGATAATCTATTCGTGTTTTCGAATCTCTAAAAAAATAGGCACTATGCTTAAGCCGAATTCATTATTTGCAACAAGATAGATGGTTTAGAATGAAATTCAATTAGCATAACTAAACATCATAGTACCCACGTAGTTTTTCCTTAAGTACCTTAACCTGCACCAAGAGGCCAAGTTTTAACTAATCTTGGTAATTAATGATTAAACTGCAAAACTTTTTTTAGAAATATGTATGTCCTCAAGCCTCCCTTTTCGGCGATGTAAGTGACAGCGCTTCTTTGTTCAACAATACCCGTGTATACGGTACTATTTTGACCTTCCTTGTAATGATCTGCGTCTTCATTGGCATCCGCTTTGTCAGCAAGTTCTCAGTGCTCAGCTTGGCTGCTGTACTCCTCTCCATCTTCTGTATCTACATTGGAATCTTTACTGCCAGCCCTGCGCGAAGTCCATAGTGAGTTTTACAACCCCACATTACCCCACCGCGCTCAGGTGTACTTAATGTGTGGGAGATTTTATTGTGGGGAAACGTTCGCTTTATGATCCACAAACCACCACCAATTATACCTAGTTGTTCCTCCTGTCTTTCAATCGGTTTGAGTTAGTGGTACTAAATTTATTTTGCTGTGGTAAGACTTTTAATAAACAAACTCGAATACAGATTAGCTTTAAAATCTTTGTGTACCATTAAGTTACTGACTTCAGTTATTTTCTCGTTTCTTAAAACGTAAAGTTAAATAAAATTTCTGAAAATTTGTCCTTAACTTCCAAGAAAATCATACCATGTTAGAATTAAATTCAATTGTATTCTTACTAAAGGCACTTAATTTTATCGCTTTTAATTTAATTTAAAGAAAGAAATTCTTCCTTCACTCTGGGTCTTTCTTTTTTTTACGGAAATGAATGGTTGTCTTTTAATTTAAGCAAGAAAGCTACTATTTTTAAAGCAATAAATTTATTTGAGTATATCTCTAAAAGCTTTAAGATAAACGTACTTATTGTGACTTATGAGTTTCTTTATTTTAATTAAGTCCTTTTCTTACATTCTTAATGAAAGGGCTAATTTTACAAACAAAAAAACTATTTCGCTATTAGCATATTTCAATTTAGCAACTTCAATTTGTGGACTTTGTTATTATCTCTTTCATGCTCGGTTTCGGACAATTTAAATATTTTCTTTTCAGTTGCTTGCCATTTTAAAATTATTCATTGTGTACGCGCTTATTACTATTAAATTAATTTGCAGAAGATGGCTTTCAAATTAGCTTCCATCTTAAAAACTCTATGTCAAATGACAAATCAAAAATATTTATTTGGTATGAGCAAAGTTCAGTGATATGTATAACCAAAAAAGGAATTTAGTGCCACTAAGCAAATTTCTTTGCTTTATTCATTAGCTCTAAGACACTCTATTTAATGAAGATCTCCGTTATTTATTTAATTCGTATAGCTTTCTTGTCAAATAAGGTCATTTCGAATATAATCCGATTATAGGAATAGTAAATATGAATTTACAAATCGAAAGTTCATTTTGCTTTACCTTAATGGATTATACCCATTTAACATGAGTAAGTATGTATTCACTACTTTGATATTTTTCTTATTGATACAGTATTTTGAAAAAAAATAAAACTGCACCCAATTGGTCGAGAAACATTACGTTACCTTGCGTTCGTTTCAGTCAAAAAATTGATCATACATGACAGAGAGCATATAATTTAAATCAAAGGTTTGTACGGAGATTACTTGAGATGAATGGAATTTATTCTTCATAAAACCTTGAAGTCGATAAATTGTCATGTCGGTCAATATAAGTACTTTCCTCAGTACAAAATTTGAAAAAAAATACAAAGAGACAGAGGTAGAATTTATTCCTTTCACAAAATTGGGAAACTGCTTTGGAAAATTAAGAAATAAGTGAGATATCTAGGTCATTCTTGAATGTTAAATTGGCCATCTCAGTGTGCGACAACCCTGAGAACACTGAAGTTGCTCAGTTGATTGGCCCACGTTCTAGCTGTTTCGCTTCATTTGCCCATAGAACACCATAGCTTTCCTTTCTTAATTTGGTAAAAAAATAAAAGTTCATTTAGCAGTATGGTTAATTTGTTTCTTAGTCACTGAACACACGTAGAGCTGATGAATGAATTTCTTCGAGCCAAGTGTACTTTAATGGCTTTATATTTTACACTTAATTTCTATCTTAAATGAACTTTGTCGATTTCGCATATACTAAAAATATTTTTTGCTAACTTCATCTTGTTCATTGCTGTAACAATGATCCACTGAATTCAGTGTAATCACGATCTTTTTCGACAAAACGTGACTAATTCTTATTATAGTCGCACACAATTCCATTTTTCTAAACTAATTGACAATTTCACAACCTCAGTTACTATTCCCGCTCAAAATCTTGCACAAAGGTTTATAGTGACCAAAGTAGTTTTCACTTTCCTTTGAAGTTGAATAGAAATATTTAAATAAAGTATTAAACCGCCCACTTTTTGACAATTCGTGTGAAATTCTTTCCATTATTCTGACTAACAAAGGGTAGACTTAACAGAAATGCCAATTTAGTGTTTAGCTTTGTTGCAGATAAACTTTTCTAAATTCAAAAGGAATTCACGTTTCTAGCATTTATTAAAGGGAGGGGGGGGGGGGGGTTAATTCGTCATTTTGTCGAATTTATTTATTTCAAGTTTTACATTCAGATTAGTTGCTTAAGAGATAAGACATTCCATTTAAGTTGAATGTGCGAAATACGCCTCTGGGTATAGTGACTGAGTTGAAGAGAGAAATCAGTAAAATTTAATTAACTATTTCATCGCAAACATCTTTTCGGCAATTATCGCTGGAATAATGTGTTTTCTTTTCATGCTATTTTACACACAAGCTAGCGCTAGGGGACACTGAAACCATAATTCAACTCGATGTATTGCTTGCTTATGAAAGGATTAAATGCGATTATCAAAATAAAAGAAAATTAATCGGTAGTAATTTGGAGATGGAATTGCACTTTTAATCATCTACCTCGGCTATTGGTTTTTTTTATTTCTCGGATATTGCATCAATTTAGTTTATGTAATTCGCAATGACTTTTCCATGTTTATTTTTGATAAACTAATTTAATTTTTATTCCATTATTAATAATTTCCACTTCCTGAAAAATTTTCCGCTTTAAAAGCAAAATTTCTCCCCTAAAACTAACACGGTATACGCCCAAATTTATTAACCTGTTCATCTTACAAAAGTATATATATATATATATATATATATTGCATTTGTAAAATAATTTGAACTCTAGTAAAACCAAGTAAGACAAGCCCTTCTATTGAAGTAGTGAAGTTTACCAGAGGATATCATGTATCAATCGTTGATATTCTTTCCTGAGTCTTAATTCCAATCTCAAATCTTCGTTTTATAAATGGCAGTACGATTAAATTAGTGGAGAAACTCTAGTGTTTTTACTTATCCTGTCCTGACAAAGATCACAAATCGAAACAACAATTAGATTGAAGACTACACATTTTTTAGTATTTTTTTAAATTAGCAGTCACTATTCTTGCTATGTTTATAAGTAGGAATTGTGATGGGCTTACCAAGCTGGAAATTTTTTTCAAATTCTCGTTTTAAAATGTCTCCCTATAGTATAGCGTTCATTAAAAGATTAAAAGAACAGATAACTTGAGTGTGTCGGTTAGATCTTGATCTCTGGCAATGGCTTGGATTTGCATAAAATATATATTTTAATTACACATTTATTCCAGAGAACGATGCTCTGTTAATGGCTTTATTAATGCATTTTTACTGGTCTTTTTTTAAATAGTGTATGCGCTCTTGGTGAAAGGTTGATAGCCAAGGCGTTAATTATGGAGAATGGGACAATGCAATGCCACAAGAACATATCTGGCCCCCTTTACAAACTCTACTGTGGGCAGAATCAATCCTCAGAAGCCTGTGCATTCTTCCAAAATAGCAACACATCTGAATTCCCTGCCATTCCAGGCCTTGCTTCAAATCTATTTTATGGTTAGTTAATTATTCTCAGTTTCCATTGTAATATCCAGGCCAATCCTAAAAACGATTATGTCTTGAACCTTAACACACCGTGCAATAAATAAATTGAAGTGCTAAATACAAAGGATGTAAGTCAAATCTTATCAAAATCATCCTGCACAAGACCAAGGAACAATCATCAATGGTAGAAAAACCAAACCAATTTGTAATACCTGAATTACTTATCTTAAAAGTAATTCTGTATAGACGTATCGAAGTCCGCACATTAGTCTACACTTTTGTGGATTTTGTAATTCAATCATATCCAAACGTGACATACTGTACTTAAATGAGGAATAGTAATAGCTTTTTATGAAACAGTGAACATTACGGCTAAGGTCACGCTTGTCTATGATTAGATTGTGTTTGAATTTAGTCGATAAATTTCCAAGACCAATTATAGGAAATCTATAAATTCATTACTGTGATGGGATTTAATTCAATCAAGGTCCAGCGTCGATACTTGGACTCAGTTGAGGCAGTAGCAGCAATCAGGGGTGAATTCTTCGTTTGAACTCTTTCACGATTGTGCTTTCTTTAAATGTTAATTTCCTTTAAATCTATTAAGCATTGTAATTACCAATCACTTCACATTTTGTCCATTTGAGATTATCAATTTTTTCCTCTACCATCCTAATAATTTGATATGAGAGGGTTATTCTGTAACCATATATCCATTTTTTTGAATGGTATATTACATAAAATCCTTAATTTTGCCAGATATACGTCCCTAAAGTAGTGATAAATTTGGAATGCTTTACTTGACCTTTCTAAAACGAAATTGATACTTCAGTACATTAAAAAAACAATGTGTACTGCGGTAAAAATGTCATAACGTGAATTGGAGGGAAGGGTAGTAAGAACGAGTGTACCAGAAACCCCACTCGATATGCGCGAAGTGGACCACTCTTTTAGGCTTCACGGTTTTGCCTACTAACTCTCAGATGCAGTCTAGGGCTCATCTTCTGTGCAAAGAGAAGCTAGTCACGGAAAAGTCAGAACGTGAATGTTTACCAACGGAGATCATCATCATCGACCGCTCCTGTTCTACCCGATGACAACTTTTGAAATACGATTTACTCATACTGAAACAAAGCGTTCTTTGTTCAACCCTTGTCGTTGTTTTTCATCACCGTAAAGGTGTGAGGGCCAAAATTGAAACTAAGTATTGATTGTATTCTTAGAATTAAGCTGTCATTTTGTAATTCATTTATAGAACTGCATCGAGTACTTGACTAGACCTCTGGATAGTTAAGAATCATTGGGGTGTTGGGAACGCTAGATACTAACTTTAAATATACACCTTTTATTTTGTTAATAATTTAATGGGAGTGGTATCTAATTGTTTTCAGAAAACGTGCTTGCTTCGTACTATCGTGAAATGGGTCAGTCATATGACAACATTAGTTTTCCACCAAGCTCCGAGTACGGACAAGCATCTAGCATTGCGGATATTACTACGAGCTTCTTCATCTTGATTGCAATCTTCTTCCCTTCTGTTACAGGTGAGCCTCTTGGTCATTTTTTTCCTCGAGGAGTTTTGTTATTATTCTATCAAGTTGGATATGGATTGTTGTTCAATACTTGCGTAACGTTGGGTAATCTACGAACATTGGAGTTTTTTTCAAGTAAATTAATTACATTGTTTAAACTAATACAAGGTTGCAAATTCAGCATTCACAATCGCTTTTCACATGTAACCCTGAAGACATTCTTTGTTAATTCTGGGATTACTGCCAGTATTTATTTCTCAACAACATTTGAAACTTCACCAATGAAAAAGAGAGTATGTTTAACACCGAATTACACCAGAATTAGCAATAAATTACTCCCAAAACTTAGTAAGCTGTGAATATGCTGGCACGCAGGATGGTTAGAAATAGTAAGCCTGAAGGAATTTGTAATTTGATTTGATTATAATTGTCATTTAAATCATTTTTAATATTTGGAGATGGTAGGGGTTTTCAATAATTAACTTATTATTCTCAATGGAAACAATGTATTCTTCCGACAAGTAAGTTGTTACCGAATAGAGCTGACTCAAATACTAATAGTTGATTTATTTTTAGCTTATTACTTTTGCTGATTAGTTTTCCAACTGTCGTGCTTGGGTAGTAGAGGCTGTTTTGGGCTTGTTTATTTATTAATATTTTTACTTAATCCCAACTTCTTTACGCAGGTTTGATGGCTGGTTCAAATCGATCAGGAGATCTGGCAAATCCCCAATTCTCCATCCCTGTTGGGACTATTTGCGCTGTTTTGGTCACTAGTTTTGTATGTATCCTTTAAATTTTCGTTAGAAAACAAGGGCCAAAGTCAGGTTGGTTCAGAGAAAGCTGGCTTTCCCTTTTATTGCACACTATTCTTAATCATGTTATGGTTATGTAATGAAAATGGTTTCAATTCTTTCGCCATTTTTCTCTTAGAACTTTACAACTTTTACCAGTTATTGAAACGACCTTTCGAATCCATAATTTAAAGGTTATCGGCAATTGCATTTTAATATCCAAATCTGCTTTGTGTATTTTAAAACACTACCGATAGAGCGTTTTGCAATAGAAAGAAAAAGGCAGTTTAAAATCACTTTGGCTAAAGGACTGTTAACCGACATTATTAGCCTTGACGAGACTTCCGGAATGTATTCACCAATATGTAACCCTGGAATCTCTCGCTTGATCTCTTTTAGTGAAAGGGAATACATGAACCCATATTGCCCATTTGTTAGTATTAAAGAGCCAATAAATGACTAATAGAAAATATTTATTCATAATAAATGGCAGGCGTTTTGATAGTTACCATTAGCCCTTTAGTTGACTTCGGGCTTCTGAGAGGGAAGGAGAAACATCAAAGTGAGAAGAATTTGGGAGGGGGAACAGAAGAGTGATTTTGCAGAAGTAAAAGAACCAGATAGACACAAATGCTCAGAAAGGGTAAGATGAGTACTGTGATAGGAGTCGAATATGACATACAGTGGGTTATGGTAGTTTGAAGTGAGAAGTCAACTGCCGGTTAATGGACTTTTTGCAGTATGCTTATACGTTGCCCAGGGTGCACCACGAGGAGGTAAGTCTATCCCACACCCCCTAATAGAAAATATAGAGTTTCATTGACTATATCCAGTAGCATCGGGGTAAAATATGCAGTTTACATGCTTAAACACTAGTTTTAATGAACCACTTATTAATTAAAAAAGTTTATAAAAGAGAAGAAAATAATAAGAAAATGTGCATGCCTTCAAGTGCGCTTTCAAAAACGAAGACGTCAACTTGTTCATGAAATGTCTTGCATTGCCTTAAATTCCTTAACTGCACAAAATTAAAGATATGTCAACGACGTTATTATTCTCGGCTGTTGCTGACGGTCGCGTTCTTCGAGATAAGTAAGTTGACCGCCTATTTTTGGCAGTAAATTTTGCCAATTTCACTTCCCTTTCAAGTTATAAACGTTTCTCACAGATTTGGTGAATCTATGGGAGGCGAAATGCTTGTTGCTGCACTTGCTTGGCCTCATTTCTGGGTCATTCGAATTGGTACGCTGTTAGCAAGTATTGGAGCTGGCCTTCAGTGTCTTACAGGTAAAATTCATATCACTGCCATCTATTTCCTGCTTAATTTTTTTTAAAGAATATTTTGGAAAAGCAATTCCATTTGTGCTTGGTTTACGATTGAAAGATAGGGCTTAATATTCACTTCTCTTTCCATTAGGAGGATGTTGTGGTGAAAGTGTTAATACTGCCTAACTCTCGCTGCAGTTTTTTAGACTTCCATTGGCTAAGTTAAAGATAAAAATTGAAATGTTTATCTCTTCTTAATGTGTGAACATATGATATGTTAGAATATATTTTAATAAGAAATAATTGAGTGCACAAAAGATTAACCAAAATAATAATGCATTCAAGCAATATTTTTCAATTTGGCTGAAGGAAACTATGAGTGCGTTATTGAGTCTTGTGACCATTAATCAATGTGGATATGATCACACAAAATGTGATATTGGATCAAATTGAGTGACCAAGTTCATTAAATCTTGATAGGGCTTAGAAGAAAGTAATTGAAATTTAGTATAAAAGTATTTTAATAACTTAAAGCGTTTTAGGCTTTTGAAAAACGATTTGAGAACTAGCACTATTTCAATTTAATCCAATTGACTATTGTTTGTCTAGAACATGTAACCTAGAGATAATATGTGGTTTATTTGTACCTTTATATTATTAAATTCAATGTAATTATATTTATATTTATGTTTAAGATATGCGTCGATTTATTAACTATAATGCAGACAAAGAGTTATTATTTTCTTTATATTGAAAAAAGGGATTTTGGTCTTGCTGTTCAATGTCCTCATAGCTGGGGCTGTTTTAGAACATAAACCGAAAATACTGCGAATAAAAATTGCCATCTCATAAACTTTAATTACTCTCTCTAAGTCGTAAGTGCCTATATTACATCATGCTGACTCCGATTTTAATAACATTGCTTGGCCTTCAATTACTGTGTGGAGTTACGCGTTGCGTATTCTACTCCTTTTAGGAGATCTTTTCAATTGAACCTAGGTTAGGCAAAAAAACATTATGGACAAAATTTTAATCTACGACATGCATGTGCCACACTGGAGTGACCCATCGAATAACGGAGTATGTCTCTATTTACTTGAGCGCGCAATGATGTGTAAATCATTGCATAGATCAGAAGGGCAGGTGTGCACATGTTCCTTCAATGGACTTTTTCAATGGCATTAAGATGTCTGATCGGTGAGAAAGCATTCCCGGCCGCCCCGTCCCCCCCCTCCTTAAAAAATCACATTCTCCCATCCATCTTCATTGAATATGACCCTTTGAATGACGATCTCATGACCCTATATTTTAAAGGCATGCAAATTTTTTTGCTTCATCACTGGCGCACAATTTGTGAGAGCTGGTAGAATGCAATAATAGCCATGCAGTTGATTCTAACCAGTCCATGGTATTTAATTCATTTACTTTGTTACATTTGTTTCACTTGGAACGCCCTCCGCGCATATCTAAATAACCATTTGTTCATACTTAAAATGGCTACAATGTTTATTTTGTAGTCAACCTGATTTTCTTGTCTGTTTTATAAGGAAGAAATCGTTAAATTAGCACTCGGACATTAATAAATCATTAATTGCCAATAAATTCATTGATTAATTTAACGGCGCTCATTTCTCTAGAGAAACCTGAAATTCTAACATCCTCCACTGATTGGCGTTGATGGCGTTATTAACACCAGAAATGTCTTAGTTCCACAACGATGCGTCATTTTTCTTAAGGACCAAATTTTGTTGAAAATTTTATTCTTTGTCATAAGATTGAATTCATCTGAAAATGCCTATTAATGAATATCACACAATTTCGTTAATCAGATCAACCTCCCTTTTAAAAATGTGTAAGTCTGCTGATGCCTTTGAGGAGTTTCAGTTCTCCTTGCATCTTTTAATTGATCCACTCGCATATCACACTTATATTCGTGCACAAGGAATTTTTTTAGCTTTTTTTGTTATTCCATTGCATTTATCCTGCTTTCGTTTACCATACCTTGATTTTATACTTTACTTTGCTAGGTTGCATAAAAACCTCAATTATAACTAACCTTTTTCAATAAAAGCATTTTATGTTTCTTTAAGGATATTTCGGAATTTGAATGTAACTGGTAAGTTTATTTCTGAAGGGTGGTATCGAAAATTTTCACTTATAATTCAGTAGTTCACTAACTTATTTAGCTAACCAACACTCCTAACCATTTCCATTTGTTTTTACTTTAATTAGTAACTACGTCAGCTGATTATCTTGAGATCTTAATTAATTCAAACGAACTTTTAGTTTGGCGGTTTTTTGTTGATTCAAATTTATTAATCGAAATTTCGCTTTAACTCTCAATCTGACAAAACTGAAACATTTCTTAAATGCAATTCAAAAAACGCACAGAGACAAACCGGGGTGTATTTGAGTTGAAACGTGAATTATATCGTTTAACATATTGGCAGAGAATAACGTTATAGTTGTTTATCTGTGAACCCAAGTGACTGGCTCAATCACTTGGGGTTTTGGGTTAGGCTTTTCCGATCTCATTGTGACAGGGTGCATGAATCATTACTAAAGAAAGGGCATTATACATGTTTAAGAAAAAACAAACATTGAATAATGGGAAGCGTAGTTTTAACAAGTGTAAATTAGTATGGGTATAGTTGATATTTAGTGTGGTTGGCCCACAATACCCTAAATTACTGTGATATCAAATTCTAAAAATATGAAAAATGAATTGTTGAGAGAGGATCAGAAATTTTTGTTACTTCATTCTTGAAAAAAATAGTCATGGGGATACAATTTTCAAATTGATCCAAGTCTTTGAAAGGCATGCGCACCAGTCACCACGGCGGTATCTTCAATGAAATCCTAGTCGCAGATTTTGCTACTTTGAGCGAAAAATAAATTCAATATGTTCATTTTGAACTGAATTTATTAATGGTCTGCAAGAGGCTTAGAAAACATTCATATCCTTCCAAAATTTGAGCAATTGTCATTGTCATTATGCAATTGTAAGCATGCCATTTTTTCCCACTAATTTTTGGTTTATTTTCGTGACTGAAATTTTAATTAAAATGTATCACTGTTCGTTAATTTATTTATCCACGTCATGTGGTGATAAAGACATTTCACGCAATAAATTGTGTTTCTCATTTATCAATCATCTGACCATCTAAAATCAATGGTGTTGGACTAGTTCTAATTCGCTTCCGACTGCTAATACCATATTCGAAATAATGCTTTCCTTTCAATTTTAACTTATTGTATGTAAAAAGGGGAACCGATTTGACTGATTTACCCTCGAAGGCAACTGGAAATAGCTTTTGGAATAAATATGTTAGAGATTTACAAGCAGTAGGGAATAGGTTGCCATGACAAATAGCTTTCCTCCTTCGACCAGTCATTTTGCTTCCTATAATCTTTTAATATTGCCGCTAATAATAGTAGGTAGTCTTAATGCGGAGTTGTTAATAAATCGCCAAAAAACATCTTTTCATGCCTGTCTGATTCTAATTGTGTGATAAGGGACACAAAATTCATTTTTAGGGTCACAATTTAGCGAATCTCATTTAAATATTTCATAAATGATTTTTATTTCCATAAAGAATGCAAATATACTCATATGGAAAGTGCTTCCTCATGCGTAAGCAGACGAGATCATTTTACTAATGGAAAATTATCCATTAACGTTATTATGTCGAAATTAAAATTGACTGCGAAAATGTATAGCTCACAAAATTTGCATTTATTGAGGAATGAGGTCGACAGTCCGAATACATCGTAAAGTCATATCCATAGCAGTGGGAAGAAAAGCAGGTTCGCGCGTGCAGGAAAATCTAAAAAAACCAAACATTAAGCGGAGGAGGCGAGTATAAGCATGGGACACATATCATGAAGAAGGACTGACTGTAAGTACTAGCTGAAATTTGGAGTAAATAAGCGCTAATTTCATCACCACTAGCAGACGGTATGCGGGAGCATTGATCCTTAAAGTTGTTTTTCTGTTTTTTTTTATTTCAGGTGCACCACGTTTGTTGCAGGCAATTGCTCAGGATGAGGTGATTTCCTTTCTCTCTGTCTTTAAGGTGGTGACCAGACGAGGTGAACCTCTACGTGCACAACTCCTCACATACGCTATAAGTCAAGGCGCCGTTCTGATTGCCTCCATCGATTCTATCACTCCGCTGATTACCATGTAGTTTGAAAAAAATTCATGAAACTTATATTAGTTTGATAAAATAATCTAAGTGATTCTAAATTTCAAACGTGTAATTGAGAGGAGGTTGGAGGGTTGTTACTGGTATCAATAAGTGAGAAGGTAATAGGCATTAAGGGATTGACAATAGGAAGATGTATGCTAATAGCTCATAGACCAAGTTAGTATACGCTCTTTGTTGACGTAATCTGTTTTCCCTTCTTATGAATGCCTATAAATGTTATTTCCGGAAGAAATATTATCGGGTTTGCTTTAGAGCACATGATTTTCTCAACTCTGTATTTACGATTAACATTTGCTGTCACTTTGACAGTTGGAAAGGCTAAGTGTTAAGCGATACATCTTACTATACGGGTTTAAATAATAAATAAATTTTGTCGACAGTGCTTGGGCCATAAGTTGTGGTCGATCCTAATTTCGGCACTAAAATATCTTCCTTTTTCCAAAATTGATCACTGCTCCGTTCTCATATTGTATCTTCTTCATTACATTTCAAAATCATCCAATTGCTATCATGTGTTCTTGTGAACATATTTAACCCGGTTCTGATTAATGAGAACCTTCAACTAGTGAGACTAATAAGATGATCGTTTCTCCTCTCTTACAGCTGGATTACTTCATTGAGTTAGGATTTAATTGGTATGTTTTTATTCACAAATTCACCAGTTTTCCAATCGTATTTTTCAAGAACAACAAAACGCAAGACTTGATTTTCCATATCTTTTGCCTAATCAAGATAAGTTTTATATGATTTTACTAATACCATAGATTTAGAAGTAGTGCGATAAATCTTTTTACTACTATATTAATTTATTCAAATTACTGCTATTTTACTTAAATTTGATTAAATTGTTGATTTCTGGTAAAAATATCAAAATCTGTGATAATTCGATGCTTTTCAGTTAACATTTAGAAATATTTGCATTGTTATATTTAGAGTTACTCCTATTGGTTGTTTCGCATACATCTATTTTTTTATATCTTACTCTGAAAGTTTTCTTTTTTGGAAGTTTCTTTGATTTCTCCCATGAATACTATTTTTAAAAAGTTCACCGAGACATAAATATGCACCTAGTCTAACAGTGATATCGTTTATTTTCCCCTCCCAAACGACCAACTTCAAAAAGTCATCCCTGATTGATCTAATTGAATTAATTATTACTTAATTAAAATTCAGACACGAGGAAGTTGATTAATATTTAAATAGTGGCAATCATAAACCAGGCCAGTAACTCACTTTGGAACTTGAGGGAGTGGGAGGAATATATAACAATTTTGCATTTAGCTCAACTTACCCCTCAAATAAAATTGAGTGCTTCGTAAACATGTAAAGATCTCTTCAGCCTTTTCGTCGGTTAATATTTTAAATTTAATTACCTTAAATCCTTTTAGTCTATTGGTACTTTCGTTTAAATAGCCCATTACTTTTCGTTAAGATCACGTTTCCTCAGTAATTTAAAGTAATCTAATCTATAAATTTAAAACGGTATTTTCACTAGCTATTTCAGTTTCAATTAAGAGTTAAATCCGTCAAGCCTGAAACTTCTTGCTCAATTTCGAACTGCAGACCATCTTTAACAGCGTATTTAATAGGACGCCTTGGATAAATAATTATGAACATTGTTAGCAGTTATGAGGAGAGGAGTCATTTATATCTGCTTATTGGCTTCAGAAAGAATAGCAGTGCACAACATGGCAACTATAATTTTGAAACGTTAACTTTTTCAACTTTAATACTCTTGGTAAGAAGAAATGCATAGGTTGGCGGGGAGGGAGGATGTTAAAATTTTTAACTACGTTCCAAAAAAGTTCTGATTTGAAACATGGATGCGCAAATTTTACAAACTGCCAAAATCTTAACTTTAATGGCAGGCCAGTGTTTGCTTTCCTTTCAATCTTTGAACCACATTTCCTTCTATCCAGTTTAAAGCTGTTTGATAGCGGAAAAAAGTTTGCTCTTCGAAAAATGGGAAAAAAGATCACGTGATCACTAATTTCTCATTCAAGTAGCTCAAAAGTGGTGAGTTGGCATAGGCTAAGAAGAGCATTTAAGGCAAACTAAAACAACCTCTCTTCACAAAGCCAAATCAACTATGAATTACTCGAATTTGAGGTTTAAAATTAGCACTGAAATTCGAAAACTGTTTCGGCAATATTTTGGTTTTAACTGTTTACCTTGCATTCGCCATCTTACGAAATTAGTATATTTTGCCAGATTTAACTAGTGCTTCCGCGAATTCAATCCTTGGAGTGTACCGACTACAATCAATCTCCAGTTCCCTGAGTTTATCATTTCGATTTCTTCACGGTCAGCATAATACATCTGAAATATTTTATTACCTATTTAGTATCACGTTTCCAAGATGGAAAATTATGTGCTCAAATAGTCTTGCATTCACCCTTACTAATTTTCCCAAATCATTTGTGTGGCCGCAGAATTCAAGTATTGTTACTAAGCGTTTTACAACCATATCTACCATGTGTCTAAATATTTATTTGGTCATGAGCTTCGAATACAATCAGCACCACGTTAGACTAATGGTTGGTATTCGCCTCATTTATCTAAGTCATCTATTATAACCGAATCGTGGATTATTCTGTAAGATAACTTGGTTTCTAAAGTTTGATGCACATAGGCTTTTTCGGTGTTTACATTTTTCACTCGATACTCTCGAATTGCTTCCACACGACTTTGTTTTAAATAGAATCTTGCTATCGATCTACAGAAACTAGTGTTGGTAGAACAGTTTATTACAAAACAATACGGCAAATAACCGCATTATGCCACAAATGGGATAGATCATTTTTTTGTTAAAATAGACCTTCCCCCATTTTAACACATTTAATGGCTTAGAAAATTGAATTTATTGCCTAGTGAAGGAAACATTTCTTTTTATCTCCTTTGGCAGGTTCTTCCTTCTGTGTTACGGATTTGTAAATCTTGCTACAGCCCTGAATGGATACTTGAAGGAACCAAGTTGGAGACCGCGATTTAAGTACCACCATTGGTAAGGCAACCATTCGCATTTTGATAATGATTAACGAGAATATTGTTTGGCCTTGGATTTTTTATTAAGACGGGCAATCCCTTTACTTGTGCATTAGGAAATTCTTCCTCCAAGATTTCTTTTATTTATGTCTGCATTATTTGCCTTGGATCTTGAATGAACGCTGTAATTTCAACATAATAATTATTGCAATTCCGATCATACAACTACCACCCTGATAACCGCTTTGTTCTGAAGTCCCCTCTGAGTCTATATTATCGATTGATCGGCCCAGTCATGCCCTACGGGAATTGCAGCTTTGAGCTTTCTCTGTCACTGTTCTACCACTGTTTATATACGAGTGTTTTGAGGTCAAATTCAACCTTGACAAATATTTACACTTTAATTGAAACTTAATTAACTCATTCTACTACATCTATAGTAGGCTTATATTCTCCTTTGGCAGTGTTTTTGATGGTAACTAGGCTCAAAGTGTTAAATGGGATAATTCAATGCGAAAATTGCAGATCTTATCTATCAACAGATTGTCTCTTGCGCGAGCATAATTCAATTTCACTTTCACAAAGACACCCAACCTCTTCAACAAGTCCAACTATAATGTGGATATACCGAATCGACTAGTATTCCGTCTCGTGCGCACAAATTTAATTACCGGTTTTGGGGGAAATTTTGCCTTTGATGCGTCCGTCCAGAGTATAAGCTCATGAATTTTCATAATATTTCTTTAAAGCGCTTCTAAAATTTGTCCTACTACTTAATTGCAAGTTTGAGGATCTTCAAATCGATTAACACATGCTTTTAGCTCACAAAATTAATTCATCAAATGAAGCAACCGGGCATTATTTTTCCCAATTGTCCAGTTTATTATTATTATTATTTTATTCCGACTTACATTCACTTGTGTTTTATAAATCGAATTTTGACAGCAGTTCCATTGCTTTTGATCACGTCGGAACTGATCCAGCAATATGACTAATTTAGTATTGCACTTCGATAGTATAGATGGGCTCATTTTATTGCAAGTGTGAATGAATAAATGAACGGACACGAACAGAAATTGCCAAGGAATGGATTACTTTGAGCTCGTATTGTTTTCAGGTTGTTATCCAGTATCGGGGTCTGTATCTGCTTGATGCTAATGTTCATTTCCAGCTGGTACTACGCCCTGGTTGCCTTGGCCATCGCTGGAGGAATCTACAAGTACATTGAATACAAGGGGTATGTTAATTCACTAGGATTAATTTGATATGTGACCAAGAGTGACAGATGGAAGTCGAATTTGTCTGCGCATATGTATGTATGGATGAACTATGGCTTAATCCTCTGCTTGTAAAATAAGTTCTTATCGCATTTGCTTCCATAATTTACTGGCATACAATTATTTTCTCATTTATTTGGGGCTTCTTTTGCTGTTTAACGCTTTGCTAGAGATGTCATACGTACTCGTGTGCTTAATTGAATATATGTGAGTAGTAAGCGATATTAAATGTAATCGCGTGATGTTTCACCTGGTACTGAATGAATGGTCAATATCATTTTTGATAAAATATGGCGGTAGACGGTTTGATATGATGCAAGTGAAAGTCAACTTCATTCAGATAAACACTTCACAAGATGTATGTGGTAGTACAGAACGTGAAGCTTTAATTTTCAAAAAAAATGATTGGACTCATTCCTTAAGACGAGGTCCACTTCATTTTGCATTTGCCGGCTGTTTGACCTACCTGAATATTGGAATATTATACACGCACCTTATAGAATCCTTATTTTTATTAAGAGCTTCAAAGGAATGGGGTGATGCAACTCGTGGTCTGCAGTTTACAACAGCGACTAGAGCTATTCTGGCTCTGGGAACCAAACCCATCCACACTAAGAACTGGCGTCCTCAACTTCTTGTCTACGTTCCTGTGAAAAACGACCTCTCTGTTGGTGAAAATAACCTCTTCCATTTCGTCCGACAACTCAAAGCTGGAAAAGGTAAGATTATCAAAAGCTAAAACTATTGAATTACCTCCAAATGAATGCCCATTACTTAATGTCATACCTTATTCGGTTTCTGGTTGGTCGCTATTCATGGTGACCTTTCTCCTAGTGACCGCCTTGGTTCTTATAAATCTTGGCTCGCGAGATCAATGGTTACTGATATGATCAGCCAATTAGTTACTTAAGGATAGGAAAAATCTCAAAACGGGCTATCACTGTCATGATTTGGAGGCCGAAATTTCATTGAAATAAGCAAAACTCAATTCTCCATCACCAGAGCTTTCTACTAACTAAGGATTTACTTTTTTCAGGTCTAACCATTATAACCTCCATTCTCGAAGGTGATATTTGTGATAGAAAGGAAGATGTTGAATTCGTAAAAACGCAGTTAGATGAACAACTGTTGCAATGCCGTGTCAAGGGTCTGGCTAGCGTTATTGTTGCCCAATCTGTTGCTGAGGGAATGAAAAATATGTGCGTTCATTGTTAAATCCTTAAAGTTGACATTTTTCTTTGTCTTCAATAAAACTTATTTTTGCTGGTGTTTTAGGGTTCAGTCGGCTGGTTTGGGAAATTTGCGCCACAATACGATTCTTCTCACTTATCCTGAGAACTGGAGAGAATTGAATACCAAGGATAATACTATTTTGCTTCAACTCACGTGTAAGTTTAAAGTTCTAATCTCACGTTCCACCATTTAAAGTATTGCCAAAATCATCTGGCATCATATATCACAATGACATCGCGTTTCTTCCTGAGAGATGTCTCACCTAACTTTTTCGTCTCAAAACGCCAGCTTCTCGCTAATCATACTAAAACTGAACTATTTTTCGCAGATAATCAAACGCGAGACTGCCTGTAACTAACAAGTTTAAATGAGTTTAAATATAAAAAAATATAAATATAAAAAAAAACATTATAATAGAAAGGAGACGGTCGGAAAAAAATATTTTCAATTCTCTCAAACGTTTGTACTTCTTCTTTTATTTGCACTATTTTGACCTCTAGATGATATCAATCATCATTGGAGCATTTCTAAATCATTGTAATCAATCAGAAAATCCAAGGCTTATATAACTTAAATCAAGCTATCTGATATTTTTAGCAAATTTAGAGGCTGATTGGCCTATTAATCTTAAAAAAACCTACTAGCTTAAGAGAGCGTGGGAGTTTTTTCCAACCTCTATTTCCCCAACGATTGTCAAAGCGGAAGAAAAATTAGGCGGAACCACTGGTCAACCATCGCGCCCATTGCATGATTTATTCGAATAATGTTTTTTTCTAAAAGAAAAACGTTCTTTTGAAAAGCAATCCTGGTGGTTCATTGAGAGCCTACATTTCTTTTAGTCTCTTTTACGTACTAAGATTTAAGCCCTAACGTTGAAATTCAAACCGGAAGATATTCCGTTATTTTTGCTATTTCGGTCAACGTAATGGACCGTTTATTAATCAACAGTAGTGAATAGTTTTGAGTATGGGTATATTTTAAATGTTTGGAATAATTTAACCCTTTTTTCTAATGATTAGGTAATTGGGTTTACACTCTCATACACAATATGCCTCCCACTATTACCCACAGTATAATTAAATAAATTCTTACTTTAAGTGAAGAAAACATTTGAAATCTACTTTTAGAGAGCTTTTTTTCGAAGATGGTGGGAGTGGATTGAGGAGATACCAGGAGCATCATCGAGGTAGAACTTGGAATTTCGTTATCCATGGTCTGGTTTGCAGCAAACGCTTACCTACTATCTCCGCTACTTGTCACGTTTTTTTTCATGTTGCCTAGTATTGACACTCCGATTCATTTTCCTCTTAGTTATTGAGAATTCAACATGAACTTATATGATGGTTGGCAGCTTTTAGTCTTGACATAACAGAAATAAGATAGCAAACATTTCAATTTGGCAAAACTCTGTTTTTCTCATTTTATTCTTTATTTGAATTCCGAATTTTCCATTTCTTATACTCGTGGTTACGGCTTTTCATGAACATCGACCCAAGATGTCTCACCAAGTAGATTAACATGTCTAGGTGATTCATAAATCTAAGCTTTTTTTCGACTCAGATATGCGAACCACTTATGTGAGTTGGGTATGGACTTTGGCAGCCAAGATCATCTAGGATAACTACCTTTTGTGAGTAGATTTCAAACCCTCTTTTATATTTATGAAATTGGTTTATTTATAATATTGCAATGCACTCGGATATCATAGGTAAATCAGGTGGACTTATTGGACCAAGAATGAGGAAAAGAATGTCTCCTCGGTAAGGAAATAGTCAACCAAGGCCGCACAGCTTAAATTCCTGTTCCAATAAGTTGAAAGGATATATTACCAACATTTTTCTAATAAAGCATATCCTTGCGTTTCCTACTCTTTTTAACCTTATTCTCTACAAACTCAGTGTATGTCACTTTATCAATAGATGAAGGGAATGATCCATTTATGATCGAGGATCAATTAGTCATTTGGCTATATTGTCACCCATTGTTTTCAAATCTGTCACAATTTATCGCGTTAGACAGATATTAACTTCCTGCTTTTCTGTCTTGAGTATTGAAATGTCTCGGTAGGTAGCTAAGAATTCAAAATCAAAGTCAATAGAAAAAATGCTTTTATGTAAAACCAACGTATGAAGCAGTTCAAGTTGTATATGGCTCGCTGTGCACTTTACTATTAAATTAGTGTCTTTTCGCTTCAGCTATTCTACGAACAGCCCAAGCCTGTAGTTTGGCCATTCTGATGCCGCGTTTCATAGACGCCTTTCCGCAATCCAAAGATGCTGCTCTCACCGGCACTGTTGATCTCTGGTTTATCGTTCACGATGGTGGCATTCTACTGTTGACCGCCTATCTTCTTTTGAGAAATAGGGTGTGGTGTAAATGTCGTCTACGTGTCTTTGTGGTCACTGGCGAACCTGATACAAATGGCGAATTAAAGAGGGTTATGACTCGTTTTGTCTACGACCTACGAATCTCAGCTGAAGTTGAAATTGTTGAGATGGTTTGTCTGCAAAATTACTTTAGATAACATTCAGATTAATAATTTTGGTAAATGAATTTCAATAAGTAGTGTTTTACTGATTTGGAATGCAACCCTTTTGTTACGAAGAAGTTTTCGATTTAAAAAGATAATTAAATGTTTTATTAAATAACTTTTTTATTTTTTTAAGCTGTATAGATTCCACTTTACAACAGACATCGCCGTATGTCGTAATAAAATTTTGCTTGGCAAATAAATCAAAATTTGTGCCATTTATGAGTCCTCGCAAAAGGGGAAACCCGTGAAATTTGTTGTGTGTTGACTATGTTTGTTATTAAAGTAAAATCGGTTTCTTATTTTCGGGTAAATTTTGATATTCCGGGTTGTGGCTTTGAGTCATGCTTCGTTCAATATTCTATGGAAGGTTATGAAATCTACACTCAATACCATGGACGGCTAAAATCAAGAATTAATTATGTCAATATGAAAAGTGGTGAGGTGTGAGCTCTTTAACAAATATTCTCTTTCACATAAACGCCAGCGATATTTTGTAAATTGTAATAAAAATTAACCCCCTTTTCAGGCTGATGGTGCAATAGCCCATGGGTCACTGGTAGCTATAAGAGCACATCTTTGAATGCCCTTTTCCCTTAGTTTATGGGTAGTTCTTGCCAACATCGAAAGGGGTCAAGGGAATATAAGCCAAACCTCCAAAAGTTCAATTTCACGCTGCAATTTTTTGCCTGAAAGTTTCATGTACTAGTAGCCAGGGGGGTGGGGAGGGCGGGAGACGCCTTGAGGTTTTATTTATTTGGGTGAGATAAAACTACTGTCGAAATAGATTTATTTACCGAACAATTTAGCGTTGAAAGTGTGAATTAGACTTACTTAAGGTAAAACCTTGTTAACATTATTCAATTGTACCTGTTAAGTGGAAATGCCTTGGTCTCATTGTACGAAAATTCGTAACAAAGTTGGTCCATTTCCAATAAATTTACACCGTAATTTTAACCAAGAATGATAACTTGGGTATGCGAACATAAAATTTTAAATAATTAAGATATATCTCTATTAACAGAAGGTAAGCAACATCGTATTGAAATTTAAAACCTTCCAATTGAGCTTTTTGCATGTTAAGCATTGTTATACGCTGGACGCGGGAATTAGATTTGGCATCCTTTTATGCCTACCTTTTTATTTGCACATACCTGGGATGATAATATAACTGGGCGCGTTTGCGTTGGAGTGTTTCCTCTATTTACTGCCACAATTCGGTGATTCATCACTTTACTAATTACTGTTAGACCGGATTTATCAGAAATATAATCAAATCACCGAGGCTGAACTGAGTTTGTGAAGCAATAATTTCAACGCTCATTCTCTAGTGCTCTTCTTATTTTTTCCTCGGTTTAAATTTATTATCTATTACGAAATTCAAATTTCCTGGGGTAAAAGTTTCCCTTTTTATCTTCTGCTTAGTCCAAATCGGATATATCTGCTTATGCGAATCAGCGGACGGTCGCTGCAGATCAAAGGCGTGAATTGCTGAAGGAAATGAAATGTCAGGATGTTGCCGCAAAGACTGACCTGCAAACCGTGATAGATGAGCACTTTGTGGGTGTACGGGAATCTGTTGACGGTGAAATTCCTCCCAAGCAAGTTAAAAAGAACTCCATATTTAAAGTTCGTATCAGCAGCGCAGGTCATGATTCCAATGCTCCATCTACTGAACGAAGAGACGTAAGTTTGCTTCTACTTAAATATAATAAGTAGGATTTTGTATTAAGTACGTTTTATGAGCGTATTTTCACATCATGAATACTCATTCCTCGAACTTTAGTTTTTTCTTTTCACCATATTAACTTGCATTTCATTATTTGGTTTGCATTCAAATTTCTCCTAGCGTCATAAAGTGGTATGTTTATCATTTGGTGTTCGTTTATTTCCTCTGTGTACAATTTTTAAAGTCTACCCCTGCACCTTCCCGCGATTTCAATTACAGTTCCCCCTCTTTTATGTGCTTCGAATGAAACCTCAGCTTTATCGTTGCTTCTTTGAAAACGACAAGGTTAAGTAGTCTTTTCTTGCAGATTATCACATATTTTCTTTTCAGTCCAAGGCAAAGATTGATACCCATCTGTTGAGCCCTGTGAAGGAAACTAAATTCGACGTAGTTGAACCTGACACGAAACCGAGCGGAGATAATGATAGAAGGGACGATGAAATCGCTAAACAGGATAAGGAGGAGAAAGGAGATGGAAAGGAGGATGATGAAGAAAAGAAGAGTGTAAATCAGCACAGTGTAGCCTTTGTGGAGGGGGTTGAAGGAAAGAAGAAAATAGAATCTGATGATGATGGGAATTCATCTGAAAGTAGCGATAAGGTCAATCAACGTCTCAATGAATACACTTTCTCTCCAACAGCGCTTCGCGATGTTTTAGCTAATGAAGAAAAGCTTCCAAATGCCGAAGGGTCTCCAGTACCACCGGAAAAAATGTAAGATCACTCAAAAGTACTTAAACATTCGTGCAAACGAAGGTTTAACCTTCTTTTATTTGCATTTTAGGACATCTTCGCCACGTCGTTTACATAGTGCAAAACGACTCAACGAATTGATTGTAGAGCGTTCTGCGGATGCAGCAGCTGTTTTAATTAACCTTCCTGCATTACCCAAGAGTCCAGGATCTGAATTCTACTACATGGAGTATGTAGAAACGCTAACAAATGGTCTGAAACGAGTTGTTCTAATCCGCGGTTCAGGACGAGAAGTTGTTACAGCCTTTGCTGAATAGAGAACAGTGGCTTTCCTTAACCATGTACGGTTCATATAAATGTCTTTTCTTCCCCTCACCCCCTTATCCCCTGTCTTAATCCATCCAATGTAATCCGAGTTTTGTTCATGTGTTTAATTCCCAGAGGTTTCTTTGATGTGCTTCGTAGGTCTGCTACTCGAGTGGATGCTCAGTTCTTCCCTGTCATTCTACTTACTATTAGCCACATTATTTTGCTCGTTCCAACATAGTTCACACATAAATAGTAATTGCGTATTTATGGAAGAATATATATATATATATGTATTTTATTTCAGTGTTGAGTTTGCTAAGGCCCATGCTATGCCTCTTCTAGTCTCCCCATTTGCTTGTATTCGAGTTTCTTCAAACTCTCTCTTTCTGTGAATCTATTTCATTTAAACAATGGTCTTGAATGCGTCTTGAACAAAAAAGGTAGTAGCGTATTTAGAATAAAGATGCTCAATTATATGTATCTTGATTTTTACTTCATTTAGAGGTGACGATCTTAGAAGGCGAATTGCTTTTTTATTGGAGCCGGATGTGTAGATTGGCAGTGATTTTGAGTCATTATCGTATTATTGTGGTGCAAAGATTAATAACAATCGCAATTAGTCTCCTTTAATAAATGACCTTTTGGGTTTATTTGACAAAATGTATTCCAGCATTCACTTTTGGCTGAGAGCAGTGCCATAAGATCTTCGGTGGTCCAATTTGAAGGTGTAAGTAGTATTGCCTCATGTAATGCAAAACAGGTTAAGAAGGTCTTTGCTTTGACTCTGAACTGCTGTTTCTTGCCCATGGTGGTAGGCTTGCAGTCATTTTCATTGCATATTTCTAATTATAAGTATCTGCTTTAAAGCGGGTAATCTTGTGAAGGGTGAGTTCAAATAGTTGATCCTAGAAATCAGATGACTAGTAGAACTCTTTTAGCTTTGCCACCAATCAACCAGATGATCACAAAGTTTTGGTGTTTTAGTTAATTGCATTTGTGCGTGAAAAAATAATGAATTACCTTGGCCTCAGGGTGCAGGCCTCAATTCCTGAACTATGTGAGTGCTTGCGTGTAAATACTTTAATTCTACCGTGAAAATGAAGATGGGGTTAAGATCTCGTTTTCTCCGTAAAATTATGACTGCATATTTCTCAGGAGACCCTCAATTATCGTTGAGGAAAGTGCATCTTAGATGAATTGGAGTGTTGGAATGTCATTCTATTGTGTGTTTATTTGAAGCTTCATCAAAAGTATATTCTGTAGTGATGTGGCAGGCATTCCAAAGCACACGATTTTCAATGTGATGCAAAAATGGTACGATAAGTCGCCCGGTTCTCGTAGATTGCCAAGTTGTGTAGCGTAAACACTAAATCCAGTTTATACTAGTGCACCATACATGTTAGCCTCGTGTGGACGAATGTGGCCAATATTCTATCTCATGCTTGTTTGCTTTAAATTACAGGCTTGTGTAGTTGAGTCACTAATATTGCCCTTTTTTTCTTCTTCATCGCTCTGTTCTTTTGGCAAAAATCTAGGCCAAGGCCGTTTAGCTTTCTCCAATTGCATACACACGTGTTGATACACGTTCCTTAAAACGGCACTTTAAAACCATTTAGCTTTATTACGTTTCATCATATTAAACCTTCTATTATTAATTTAAATAGTGTTGGCATGTTTTGTCAATTTTCTATTTTCTGTTAAAATTTTTTTCAATCCTATTCCAAAATGTACATTATTTGCACTTTTTGATACCTACCTTCTGCTTGTGATACCAGTAGTACTGGTCATAACGCGCCAAGAGAGTTAATCGCCAAGGTAGCTCTGGATTAGTACTCCTATTGCTCAAGAGAAGTGTTCAAGGCCCGCTTTAAATTGTATTACGGCTTCCATTTTTAAGAAACAGTGGTAGCGTAGGCCATTACCACTTACCAGCGATGATTAACTGGGAACAAAAAATATATTCCGCTACATCCCGTAGCGCTTTAAACCGTATTTGTCATTGTGACAAGTTGGTTGTTTACTTCCATTCATGTATCTGTTAAGGCTTCATGGTCTACCTTCTTATCTACATTACTCATTGTGTTACTAATATTCTTGATGATCAACTCTTGTTTAGACCAGGTTTCCTACAACATGTGATTAGCGTTTACGTGGTGAGTGCATGTAACTCGTACATTTTACCTGATTAGCAGTTTCGAGTAAGAATGCGATGAGAAAATAAATTCAACAAAGGGAATTCGATGTAAGTAAATGGAAATTTAATTAAGTCAGGAAACAAGTGCAGAATTTAGAGTCGCGGAGGATTTTGACAGGCTCTGACATCCGTCCGAGCGGTCGGTGCCAAGTTTCATAGCCTTATATAAACAAAAAAAAGCTGTTTCCATTTACTTGCAATCCTTAATGAAAAGCAATTATTTAAATAATAATTTTTGAAAGGTAATGATAGAAGCACCCAAAGTAGGCGATACTTATATATTCCCCGTGAGTCATTTACGCAATTACGTTTCCTTGTCTTTCAAACTATTGGGAAAATCGTGGGAAAAAAAGCTCTTACTTACCAAACCTATTTTCAAACAAGCTACAACTTTAACTACACTGCGCTTTAAAATAATGGTAAGAGATCCAACTTTTAAATATATTTACTTGATATTCCATTGATATTACAGGGCACAGTAGAACAATGAGAATAGTAAAATCAGATCCAAATGCTAAATAACCTAATTAATAGTTTAGTATATTTACATGCGCTACAATTGTTAAGGCGATACAAATCAATAAATACGCATCAGTGTTAAATTCTCTGCTATCCTGAAATTTCTATCTCTGTGAAGGGTGCACCAACTTACTGCACATCAAGGATATGCTATTCCAAGCCAGTTTAAAGTTAGTGTTAAATAACTTTTGCAATCCTTAAGTGTTCTTTGATGGATCTTCATTTTGCTCTTTCTAAGTCTTAAAATTGTTTGTGTTACCCCTAAAACTTTATGTCAAATACTGAACCACAACACCTTAGCTACATGTGCCACCAAACTACAAGCTAAAGAATTCCAAAGCCATTTAAATTTCCTCTGCTCTACATTTTTCCCTCCAAAATGATCCACTTGATACGGCTGTCTTCCCTTTATTCGGGTTGTAGTATTGGCTGGTGAAAATTAAAAGTGTGAAAATTCAAGTATAACTTGGAACAGAGAAAAAATATCAAGAAGTCTTGTTGATTGTACATGAAAGGTTGTCTAAACGTTTATTATTCAATATAAACCATTTCAATAAGGAAATTCATTTTTTCAAAACGGCCATATCTGTTTCCAATACGGTGAATACAAGTACGGCCCTTAAGGGAAGGTGGCGAAACTACAATTTAGCTACTGAAACTAGTTCATAATTTGGAAATTACTGAGTACTGCTGATAAAGTCATTTTAATGCTACCCTGATATTATATGATTCGACTTTTCTCGACGTATAGATTTCTACGTAACGCCACCTAGCCAAACCACAATGCTAAAGTGGGAAACCGTGTAGTAATGATACGTTCGTTTGAAGGGAATTGGAGACATATAGAAAGATTTTGCACTTAAGACCTGTTTAATGGAAATGGTCTATGTTCATATACGTAACACAATGAGGCACGGTGAAAAATCGTAATTCTATAACCGCACTCTCAGTCAGTTGCAATGTTTCCTGTAAAAACACTAACAATTGCAAGACTCGTTATAATGGTTATGTTGGTGTTTCTGTTTATCGGTTATGGTGAATAAAATTGGAATAGAGCTGTAGAAAGGGAGTTGGCTGGCTAGAGGAGCTGGAAGTAGGTTTTGGGCGCTAAGGGTTGAAGATGAGGGCGAACGGAAGAAGTGGGCTGTTGCAGTAATGATGGCCGGGGAGTAGTAGTCAAGATGACAAAGTATGCAGAAATGCACTGTCTTACGCACTTAAGTTCCCTCCTCCTTCTACCACCTCTTCCTAATTTCTATCGCTACTAATAACCCCAATGGCCTCAACCACACCTGTCTGACCCAGGTGTTGACCCAAGTGGTGTTGACCAAGCCGTAGTACAACGGTACTCCACTTCCCATTTCGCCTCTAACGTCTTGTCGAAGAAGTGATTGGGTTCATTTGTAAAGGTTGTGCTTTGCGATGCTATTTGCTATTGGCCATGAAAATTTCGTGCATATAACATGTTTCCAACTTAAGTTGAGGCCATATAAACATTAAGTATACCTTTCGTGTTTGTTGACTTACATATTACCGCGTTTATAGCATCGCCTTCTAATGAGTGTCTCGCACTAAAAACCCCTTTAGATGTAATATCAAGAATCGCATCGCTGTTCAAGAGGTATGCTGCTACTTGGGAATCAGACATATGATAAGTCTAGAACCAATTTTCTCCTTCACGTTATCTTGCCACACGCTTTAGATGCTCACTAAAAATGTTTTTTTTTGTAATTCGTTTGATATATATTACAAAATTTGTTAATCACTAGACGCATAAAGCACTTGACTTCTGATGCCAATAAATAGTTTAACACCCGTTTCCTTGTAAGGTTGCGTGAAGTGATCGAATCGTCTTCAAAGGTGAAAATAATTATGGTTGTAAGTTTAGTGAGTGAAAAGTGCGCATGAAATCTAAGATACGAGTAGTGAATATATACCTTATTGTATGACATTTAACGAAGTATGGAAAACGCTTTGAAGAGGGGAAAATTATGGCCCTAAGACAAGCCCATACAAGCCGGATTGTATTTGGCACCAATTTGCATGCAAATTACCTCAAAGCCGTGAACATCTTGGAGCAGGTTTTCACTTAAAGCCCAACTTTAACTAACTAACCATTGGCTTCCAATGGTGAATTTTACTTTCTTGTGAAGTTCGTAAATTGTCTGTTTCAAAACAGGCCTTCATTCAACCGAGGGTGCACGAAGGCATTCAAAACCGGAATTGACTAAGTAAATTGGGTTAAGAGACTGTGTTAGATAATATGGTCTGGGGGCTGTATCCAATTTATTGTCG